AAAGGAGTTCTCAGGGCTGCCAACCTTACAGTAGATGTTGAGTAGCAGTATATTTCTCCCACATAAAAAATATCCCTGTTTTCCTAGAGCTAACCTAACAGTGGTGAAAGGCAGACACTAGACAATGGATAGTGTGAATAATCAAATTGTTTAGTATATTAGAAAGAGATAAAAGCTCTGGAAATGGAAAGGTAATGGAGAAAACTAGAGATCACAGGAAGTGCAGGAAGGGGACACAGTCTGCAGTATTAAACAGGATAGTCAGGGATAAGATAGTCCAATATTTTCTAAATAAATTACTTAGTAACACAAAATTAGATATAGTGCATCTTTCCTTTTGCCACAGAATGAGATTATCAATGAGGGCTATTTAAAAGAAATGTTCAGCCCTAAACAGGATGGTGGAGACAGCATTTTGTTCTACAGTGTAGCCGTTCACTTTCCCATACAATTAATGTTGCTAGTCTTCCACTGTTCATATTCAGGTGGAAAAATCTGTCAGGGGTTTTAGCTAGGGCCAGGAAAATAGAAATAGAGCACATCCTGGCTTCTCGTTTGTCTAATGATAAACTCGATTAACATTCTGGGTAGGGATTTATAGAATCTGGCCATAGTTTTGCTAGTAGCTGCATAGATTTCTACAGCTCTGCCAAACACCCAAAGCTCCGCTCATCCGCATCTGTGCCTCCTCCTGCCTGCGGCTACTCATCACAGTCCGTGGAAGGAGCAGCGCCAGCTGCCTCCACCGGCTCTGCAGGCCGTGAGCAGGTGCTAAAACCCGGGAGGCTACACCACGATACCAGTCAAGAAAGCAAAGGCCCCTTAGGAGCCTACTTTACTGATGGAGCCAGGCCAAGCAGGAGGCAGCCGGTGATCATGAGAAAAGCGCCAAGCCCAAACTGCAGGGTGGCGCAGGCAAGGAATGGCCTTATGAGGAATCTTATTAGGGCTTTTCGTAAACTTTATTAGGTGAGATCTTGCCACACCTGAGCATCTTTTGGATTTAAAGCTATCTTCAGCAGGTAAAGTTTCTTTCTGACAATTAATGTGCCCACCGTCAGTGCGAGGGAGCATAAGTCTTTCAAGTTGCTACTGGCGGCCCCAGCAGTCATGTGGGTGCAAGTGGGCACTACAACTCACAGAGTGGGTGGGGAGCTCGCCCGCGCCCACGCAATGGGCGGATGTGTCAAGGTCCGCGCGCCCACCCAAGTGGCCCTGGGACCTCCGTGAAGGGTTTCTTCAGTATCTCTCATTCACCTGTCCCCCAGCCCCAAATTCACTCCTTCTGGGAGACAGCCTCGTTTTTTATGGAATCCCTCTTTTATCATGCAAAGCTACAGGTATTTAGTTTGATGGTATATTGATTCTATTTGTTATATTCTTAGCCCACTTCTAGTAAACTCCCAGACTTATCATTACAACTTTTAGATCAGACTTCATTCAATTTCCCAGGATTTCCATTTTCTCTAACATTTCGTAATCACATCTCATTCCTGCCTATCTCCTCTTCCATCGGTCTAACGTGCAGCGCACACGGCCAATCTGGTCAGCTGCAAATGGCCGAGCGAGAGGAGAGGAGAGAGATGCGAGTGCTGGCATCAAACCTGAGTGAAATCCCGGCCCTGCTTCTTCTGAACTGTGAGAGGTTGACCCTAGTGCGTATCCAGGAGCCTCCTTCCTGCTGCCAAGTGCGCAGCGTGACCTGCACTGTGTAACATCACTGCCAATACTTACTGAATGAAGTTTGCGAACTGCCTTGCTTACGGTGGGTACCGTCCATGAAACTTGAGAGCATTTCATTCCTAGTTGGGTTCATTTTATAGATAACAACTTTCCTGCACTGCCTGGACATCGAACTGGCTGCCTTGTGCGCTCTTTGGAACACAAGGATTTAACCAGAAGCAGTGTGGTCCCTGCCAGGCTAAAGCAGAGAGGGTTTCCGGTTCAGGAGAGGCTGAGCTGGAGGCGTTCTCTCAGCTCCTACCAGGGTTTGGGCCTGCGCTGCAGCCTCTGTTCCAAGGCTCTTTATCAAACAAATGTGTGATTTGTCCTCTTCCTGTGCTCTCTGCCTACTTTTTGCTAATCTGTGCCTTTTCAGTAGATTATAATTCGCCTTAAAACTTGTCACCTTCTATTCTATATTCATTATGCCATTTAATTCAATTTAACCTCATTTCAAATGTACATTTTAAGTTGGACCAGCGAGTTCTACTTTTAAAATGTATTCTTTTTTGGTGTTGCCTTGGTAACTAGACTAGAACATAAACTTCCCTGTGGAAGTATAACTGTATTTCTTCAAAATGTTCTTAACCACAGAGAGCCCACTCGTTGCTTTTTGCAGACCCAGTGTTTGTTGGTTAAGTGTACTGTAAAATGCAGATATGTAACAAGTTAAGATAATTCTCCTATAAGTATTCACATTTAAGTTATATTTTACAGTATTTTTAAATGTCCAATCTCTTTGCCCTAACAGCTCTGAAATATCAAGTTGGATTTGTATATTTGACCCCAAGCTCACACAGCTAGTTAATATTAAAGCTTGGAATGAGTTACACTCAGAGAACCTCCCAACTATTAAGAGCTAGAGGCAAGACATTTGTCATGGAGCCAAACTTTGTTCTTCATTTCAACTTACTGTGTTGTACACATGTGATCACACGTGGTATGGACTAGATGACAGAAATCATACCCCCAGAGCTTTCAGTTACGGGGTGCTGAGGCCAGACCTTCACATTATGAAAGAAAAGAGCAGTTGGGAGAGATCTGTCTGAGAAAGGTAAGTTGCACTGAAGCATGGGAATGTGTTTTTATTCCAAAAAGGCCACTCTTAAGAGACAATCCCCACTTTCAGGAAGATCCTCCTGGTGCAAAGGAGACCTGTGCCTGAGGTTGAGTTTGTGCTGCTGGGAACGAAGAGGAAAAGGCATACTAGGGCATAAACCGTAAAACAACACTGACATGCTAGAGTCCAGATGTTACAGAATACAGGGGTCAAGGAGGGGGGCCAATATAGTATTACCGAAAGGAACCCCCCAGGTTCCTTATGTCCGCTGCCTTATAGGAAAGATATCTCTCAATGCCAGAGATTCGTGAAAAGTAAAGGAAATGTTTATTTAGTGCTATACAGACTTAAAATAGTGACCTAATGTCATCATCAAAATCCCAAAGTCCCTTAAAACACCCACAAACACACACAGTCCTTCCTTCCCCCTTTGCCCAATCTGGGGTACCATGTCTCAGGAAAAGAAATAGAAGTCTGTGGCTCAGGCAGCCCCCGGTTCTTCCTAGTAATCTGTCTGGGCTGGTAAGCCCCTCTCAGTTCCCAGCACCATCAGCTGTGTCGCTGAGATCTCTGCTAAAGCCAGGCAGTGGTTCCCCCTTCTAAAGCTGCAGGGGTCCCCACTCTGGCAAAGCCACGTGGCTCTCCTTTCTATTGCCACAGTCACGTGGTTCTCTAAACTGCCACAGCTGCATGGTTCTCTGCACAATGGCTGCAAGGAGGGGGTCGCCAATCTGCCAAAGCCAAGTGGTAGTTCTCTGCTATAGCCGCATGGTGATTCTCTCTCACAGGGCTGCGGGAGTCCCCACTCTGCTAAAGACCGAGTGACTTTCTCCCTGCACTGGCTGTGGTTCTCTCCCCAATAGCTGCATTGTCTGGGTTTAAATCCCTGCACCAATCTTCCTCTGCAGCCCCATTTCTGACTCCTCCCACAATTGGCTACACTTCCCAGTACTCTCTTATCCTTCCAGCTTTACTGGGCTGCCATCGTGAATCTGGGCAGGCATGGTCCCATGTCATGGAGCCAATCTTCTCCAAGCTCCCACGCAGGCGCTGTAACTCAAGGGACCTGCCCCCCAGTTACATCTTGGTGGGGAACTTACTTCCATTCCCATGGCTCAGAGCACAGCCACAGCTATTTAACATATCTATGAAACCAGTTAAAGGTTATAGATATGTTTAATGACCACAGCAGAGGTTAGCTGCAAAGCTGTTGCTATGCAAAACAGCTCTCAATGACCCTGCTCCATTTTTCCCTTCCCCCAACCCACACCTGTAGGGGAGGAGGGGGAGGACATCTTAATATTTCCTGAACATTCTGAGTTCTGGACCCCATTCCAAATCCCTATTTGGGCCTGCCCCATCTCTTGGCTGTGTAGTATTTACACAGAGAGTAAATACTTCACTACAGAAATCTATTTCAAAGAAGTTAACATTGATATATTGTTTGAGTATATTAATTCTATCAGTTGGAGTAGTGTCATGTTTGTTTAAATAATACAGTGAGTTCATTTTATTTATATGTAAGTACATAATCAATTTTCAAGTTAAAAAATGGAGGTAATTTCAGCACTCATTGAAAATAGCTCATTTTGTAGATGACAGCTTTCCTGCAAATCATATTCTCTGAACATTGAATTGGCTGTCCTGTGGGAGTACAGGCTTTTGGCCAGTTGTTGTTTGGGATTATTAAGGGAACAGCTGATTCTGCAGACCTGACCCAGGAACTACTTCACACTTCCCTAAATTCAAAGTGGCAGAGATGTAGTACACTTCTTCAGAAATCTGATAGCTCTCAACAAAATATACCATATCTGACCGAAACTCACTCGCAGCTGATCTTTTCTCTATTTTTCTCTCATCTGTACCCACCACTATCATATACCATCACTGACAACTAAAGCAATGGAACTGTTCACTGCAGTGCCCCCCTCCCATTAGCATGCATAGTAAATACACTGGGGGCAGCTAAAATATTTTAGAAGTGCTCTAGCTTACCACTGTCAATAATGTGTGTGAGTGGGTTCACTCTAATCTGCACAATAGTACATCTTTTCTCACAATTTTCTTATTTATTTTACTGTACATGGACACAGAGTTGTTTTCATTTGTTGACTCTCATGGATGGTGGTGCCTTAAATTTTCTAAATTTTTATTTTTCTCCCACTGGTTTTATGCTTCAATTTTTTTCATTTGGGAATTACAAAGAAATTCACCTACCTTTTTCTAGTAATTCAAAATGATTTTATTTTAAATATTTAACTGTTAAATACATGTGGAATTAGTGACGTTATGAATACAATTTTTTATACATATAGTTGAATGATTGAACCATTAGATGATTAATTCATCTTTGATCCTCTGACCTTCAGTGTAAATTTTAGTGATCTGGTGAGTTATTAAATAGAGGCATGTGCTTGCCTGTGAGTTCTCTACTTATTTAGACATTCACAGTGATTTTAAATAAAAGAATTCATCTTTAATTGCAATAATAAAATAAATTTTAAGATTTCATTGATACTAAACTTAATTGTGGATTAAAAAGTACACACTGCAGAAAGCTCCCTCAGAACATTTATAATTCACATTGCATACTTCCTGTTTTTCACTTTACAATACAGGCTATCAATGCAGGCTATCTCCTAAATCATTTTAATTCTTGAAATTTCAAAGTGTTTATCAAGCTCATAGCAACTAATCTAAGTACAGTTTACTCATTTTTTATCAATAAAGTTGTATAATTAACATTTGCATAAGAAATATAAATGAACATGTCTATTAAAATAGGCTTCCTGGTTAGTAGACTATTTTATAATTCTTTTACACTGATTCTACCCCTCATTTAGATCCCAGATGAACTTCAAGGGAACATCTCGCATCTTCCTTTGGAATACTTTGTCAAATCTCTCATTTTGCTCCACTGTCAAGTGACATTTCCAGTCTCCAACGGTCCCTAGAGAGAGAAGCACAGGATCAGCCCCTGGGTGAGTAAGTGGTGCTTTCAGGTTAACAGTTCCCTCCAGCCCACTTGAATCTCCTCTTCAAGCCAACCTAAATATCTGCTAGTTAGTTCTCTGTAGGGTTTGATACCTCATGTTTCTTTATAAAGAAATGAACTAAGAAAAAAACTTAAAAACACTTCCAAGGTACCCTATCCTTATACTTTCCCCAACCACTACCATTAAAGTATAACTTTTACTGAGAAGGCATAACAAAAGTAAAATATATGACTAGGTTAGAATTGTTACATATTTTACTAAATGCCAGACACCATACTTGGCAAACTTGGCAAAATGTAATATAACTCGTTAACACAACTCTACAATGTCACTATTTCTTCATTTTAAAAATTTTTTAAAAAAGAAGAGATTATGAAGTACAAATTAGTAGTTACAAAGAGTCATGGGATGTAAAATACAGCATAGGGAATATAGCCAATAATATTGTAACAACTTTGTATGGTGCCAGGAGGGTACTCAAATTACTGATGGGATCACGTCATAAATTATATAAATGTCTAACCACTATGCCCTACACCTGAAACTAACATAAAATTATTTTGAATGACAACAGTAATTTGAAAATTAAAAATAAATAAATAGGTAAAGAACTAAAGATAAAGAAGTAAAATTTAAAAAATGACACCTGAAGTTTTTCAAGTAATGAAGTCAAGGTCAGAGAGTGTTCAGAACTTCCATTGCTTCAGTTTTACTTGATGGAGTTAGAAACTGTCATCAGGATAGTATTTTAATGAAGATTATTTGGCATCTTTGGCTATCAAATTTTCTTGTTTAAACATTGGCATTTGGAACAATTAGCAAACTATTAATGGGCATAAAGGTTGCTTTATATTTGATGTAGTTAAGCAATGAGACATTAAAGTTGATAATAAATGGCACAACGAATGAAGAAACAATTTTTTAAATATCACTATCAAAGCAGCTTATATAATTAAGAATAAATATACATCATCAAAATGCTCTTATGAGTAAATTAGTGAATAAAGTATGAATAAAATAAAAAACAAGTTATGTTTTAGAAAAATATACATTAAAAAGATCAATTTTTTAAATTTGAAATTAAGAAATATGGGGGAAATATATTCATTTTTAACTCCTGGTATACTATAAAAGCACAGTAAAAATTAATTGCAAGTTGCTGAGTACTTCAATTTATAACACATTGGGTTAATGAAATATTAATCTATTTTTTACATTGAAGAAATCTGACACATGAGGAGATAACTGTAATTCAAACTTCCTCCCCCAGAACAAAACACATAGTGTGTTTATTTGTGGAATGTTCTAGAAGAAATTAAAAAAAAAAGAATTGGAGTGTCCTGGTCACATATATCCATCACCTTCAGGTAAGACTTAGTAATTTTAAAGAGTAGGATCACATAGACTAAAAGGAAGGAATATAATATAGATTAATTAGGTTCAAGTGTCAGGCTTTGTACTGAAGAACTGTTTAGTTTCCTGGGATACTTTTCAGGGCGATTTTCAGGTAGGATCTTTGATTCTCTCTGGGGCCCAAATGACAGTACTTAGAGACACAGGGTAGAAGCATTCCTTAATTAGTGTAGACACCAAGGACTCACGGGAACTCTCAACCCTTTTGCTTCTATAAACCCCTGAGCATCACCTTTGCGCAGAAAACGTCCCTCATTTGTTCTTCTCCCAAGGTCATTGTTTATAATATCATCAGAATTTGCTCTTGGATCAGACTTCATGTTCTGAAATGTAGCTTGTTTCACAATGGTTTCCACATCCTCTTCACTCAGTTCTTTCTCAAGAAAACTGCTGATTTTAAGCACAGAACTTCTGAGATCCTGAAAGAGTTGTGGGTATGAGAAACGATTCAGCTTGTGAAGAATGCATGAGTTACATCCCAACATCTTGGCACATTTTGAAAAACTGAAGTTGGTTGGGCTTATTGTAAGTCTAAAGATTGACATGATATGTCATTCCCTGTTCCTTCTGTGAAAACGAGTGCTCTGATTGTCAGCTTTGTTAGAGCTTCCTAGTGTTTGATTTTGCAAGGACAGCTCCCCTTCACTCATTCATTCAACCAACACTTTTAGGGTGTCTCATATGTTTCAGAAACTGTGATAGGTGCTGGAGAAGCTTAAGAGAACAATGATGTGCTAGCAGTGCTTTTTAAGAGTTTACCATTTCATGAGGGAAAGAATGAAGCAGGCAATTAAATACAGTGGCTGCAACAGAAAGGGAAGTGCAGGGTCTCAGTGCCTTCACTGGTAACTCCAACCAAACATATGAAGAAGAATTAACACAAATCCTCCTCAGACTCTTTCCAAAAGTCAAAGAGGAAGGAACACTTCCAAACTCACTCTATGAGGCCAGCATCACCCTGCTACTAAAGCCTAATGAAAACACTACAGGTGAAAAAAAAACTAAAGATCAATTTATCACCTATGAAAGTAAGATGGGAAATCCCCAACAAAATGCTAGCAAAACAAATTCAACAACATATTAAAAGGATTATATACCATGAACAAGCAGGATTCACTCCTGACATGCAAAGATGGTTCAACACATGAAAATTAATTAATGTAATACCACATTTACAGAGAGAAGGGGAAAGAAGCCACATGATCATCTCAGTTGATAAAGAAAAGCATTTGATCCCTTCTAATCCAAAACCGTACTTATTTTCAGTGGATTAACACTGACCTCTAACTAGTTTGCCTGTATTTTTACAGTTATTACTTTGAAACTCAGCAATGGCAAAGACATTATAAGAATACTAATTCCATCCTATTGTAATTCTCATAACTCTTAAAGGGCTCCCCATTGCCTTTAAGATTAAAGAATTTACTATCACTAACACAGTCTACAGATCTTGCATGGTCTGGCTCCTACACCCCCTCTCTAATCTTCAGCTTGTATTACTGCTCTTAACTTCTCCCTTCAGTTCTTCAAAGATATGGCATGTACTTTATTTCTTCAGATAAGTTGTACATTCGCTTTCCTTGGCTTAGAATTCTCTTTTATCTCTCTTCCAAGGCATATTTATTAGCTTGCTTTTACCGTGTTATCTTTTTTTCAGAAATAAACAGCTATCACCTTTAATTATACCAGATCAGTATATTTCACATACTGATATCATACCTGCACTTTTCCTTGATAACACCTGTCACACTTTTTAATTATATATACCTACTTGGTGAATACATATCTTCCCTGTTGGATGATAAATTCTGTAAATAAAGGGATCAATTCTCTTTATCTCATGATTTAGTGTCTGTCACAGAGTAACCATTTAATAACTTTGAATTAATGAATAAGATATGCAGTAGTGAATCAACATGTCTATCAGAGATTACAAAATAGTGAACTTCAAAGTATTTGGTTTATGCAATGTTTTAAAAACAGCTTTGATTGGATGTCAACATGTAAGCATGATGCAATTTCACATGAAAGCTACGTTTCAAGATTCTCTTAGAAAACAAACAAACAGGATGAACCTTCGTCCCAGGGCACACAATTACCTCTGGCTGATTCAGCAAATCTTACTGGCTTCTCACCCCAGTGTTTCAAAGTGCCTTTTTTTGTTGTTTGCAAATCTCTGAATATGTGTTTGCCCTTACTGGTACAGATGGGTACATGAAAAGCAACCACAAAAAGATGACTACATCCAGTGAGAAGAGAGCCCTGAGGAATCAGTAATTAAGGGATGGGCAGAAACTTAGAAACCCCTGAAGGAATCTGAGAGGTTAAGTAACAAAAAACTTAGGAAAATGTGGTTCATTAAAACTAAGATTTTTTATAAAGGGTTTCAAGGAAATCATTTTAAAAAATAACCTTCTCTTCTTACCTTTTTCATTTCCTCGTACATCATGAACAGAATATTGAAGTCATGTCTGTGCTCGTACCAGCCTCTGACGTGATCAAACCAAAGGCCTCCCACCACTGTGAGAAAAATGAGTAAGTGACAAGGTAAGATGTTGCACTTATTGACCAGCAAACTATGGTCTTTCTTTCCTGTTCAGAAATTCCTCAAAAAAGAAAAAGTAAACCCGCACCACTGAACATCTATGTAACCTTTTTAAATTGGTTCTTTGGGGAACAGTTTCATGATTTTAATGGACACCTGCCTTCCCTATGTATGTAGGAAAGCAGTCATGAAAAAAATAAGAAGCCCAAGAACTAATTTTGAAGATTAAAGGTATGTTCTTTTACTTCCTTCTTCCACCTGAAAACGTATGTCTTTATTTCTCCTTTGATTGCCTATTTTAAGACCTCTTGGCAGCAGCTTTAGCTATCTACAAGACAGAACCTGAACACAGTCTTCTAAATGAGAGCCCCAGCTCCACAGTCCCCGAGCCTCTTGCATCAATCTCTCCTCACCGCTGAAATGAAACTCGCACTGCTGCCATAGAAGGCCAGCCATGGGTCCTTGACAGAACCCCCAAAACTGCATCCCCTTTGAACACTGGCAGTTTTGGAGCACATGGGTCTAACTAGTTTGAATTGTTAGACCTTTGTGTTTCTTTTGTGATCTGGTCAAAATATTCCTTAAACAATATGCCTTTGCAACTATAACAACCCCCAAAGTGATCCTGATAAGAATAGAAAAGCCACTGGGTGGCCAATTAAATGGACAGAATAACAACCACTTACCTGCTTTCCAGCTTCTATCATTACCCTTCTGTATCTCCCTAAAATATGTTCCCTAAGTTTGAGAATTTGACTACATGGCAACATTGTTTCATAAACATGGTACTTGTATAAATAAGTTCACAGTTACCTTTTCCATCTAGAAACTTTTCCAAAAGTTCCTCTATGTTATTCATAGCTTCAAATATAACCACTAAATTTGAAAAATGAAAGTATGAAGTCAAAACATCCTTGGGGTTTCTGTAGACGTAAATAATCTGCAGGGGGATAGTAAAACACTTTTTAACAATTATTCATTATCCTTTAGAGGTGTTTTTGACATCTACATAATATTTCATTATATGGATGTGAGATACTTTATTTCATCCAGTCAACTACTCATGGTAATTTAGGTTATGCCTGTTTTTTGCTGTTACAAAAACTGTTGAAATAAATAACTTTATTTACATGGCCTTTCACATGTGCAAGCATATAAGACGAATTTCTAAAAATGTTAATCATTCATGGTGTTTATTAATATTGCAAATTATATTGCATAGGAGCTATTTTAATTCATGCTCTGTGAGCATTAAATGACATTTGAAAAGAAGCCAAGGTAGCATTGGAGATTATTTTAAAAAGGAAAAATATTATACTTAATAGGTGATATTGAAACAAATAATGATCCATATAGAATAAAAGTGGAATTGTACCTCATACCAGACTAAAAATTCATTTAAAAATGAATTAAAGATTTAAACATGAAAGCAAAACTCAGATATCTTAAAAAATAAATAATTTATTTCTGATCTTGAAGAAGAAAACATATTTCCTAAATAAAAAAATATTTAAGATAAAAATTGATCAATTAAATTACATTACATATTTTTAATGTTATTAGTCAATATATACCATAAAGGCAGAAAGCAACAAAGTATGGGAGAAGCAATGCATACAACCAATAATTTATTACTATTCAGAATATATATAAAAGAAATCAATAAGGAAAAGACAATGAAATTTAAAAATTGGACAAAAGTCATAATCATTTCACAGAGAAAGAAAAGATTATGGCCAAAAAATAATAAGTATTATCATGATTAATAAACATATTAAGAAGTGCTAATGGCAAAATCCTAGAAAATAAGAAAATAAGTGACAATATAAAGTTAAGTAAAATTTAAGGTCATATTATTTAATAGGACAACATATAACTTGTTTGCATGACTAATAGTGCAGAAATCTTTGTATGCTAAATAACATATTAGAAAATCTTAAATGCCAAAAATTCCATTAAGTCTAAAGATTTCAATTTAGCAGCTATCATAATGGGAGATTTATCATAATGGGGGATTTATACTCACTTATCTTTAGCACAAATATAGAAGGATTAACTAAATAAATTTGTACAGTTATTTAACAAAGTTTATTTTATATACAGGGTCTGGTACAAATTATACCCCTTTTTTATTACAAAATCTTTTATTACAAAATCATAAACATGTAATTCTGTAACATAACAATATCAAATTCAAGTATACCATATAACATATTTTAAGTGAAATGTTCAAATTAAAACTATAAATTATTACATGCATATTATTCTACTACCAACCACAGTCACGCAGGCATTACTTCTGCCAGACCCTGTGTGCTTGTCACTGCTCCACACAGAGAATACATACCTTTTTCTCACGTGGTTGTGGAACATACTGAAAAAAATTGATCATATAATTGGCCATAAAACTGCTTACTGAATTTCAAAATTTAGAATAGAATTCTTACAGTACCATTACTTGATAATACATATAACTAATATATAAGTATATTTATACAAGTATATGTAAGTATAAGTACATATAAGTATATATAAGTAATCAATAATAAAAAGTTTAAGAAGAAAATTTATATAAACAGTTGGAAATTAAAAATCTTCAGAATAACTTGGACCAATTAGAAAATTCAAACTAAAATGATAGATTATTTAGATACTAGCCATATTATATGTATAACTACATTAAAAGGGATATCCATCATTTTAAAATGTTAATATTTATTAAAAAATACTGGAAGTAAATAATTCTAATCTTTTAATTAAAAAAGAAAGAAAAACAAATGCAAACAAAATGTGAGGAAATAAAATGAAAGCAGAAATCAATGAAATAGAAAACATTAAATTACGTTTTAACAAGAAGCTAGTTCTTTGGAGAAAAATAGCCAATATAATGGAAAACTGCTGATATCTTGAAAAATACAGAATATAAAAAATTTCCTCGTTACAAATGATGATGACGTAATTATTAAAGACGTAATCGGAAAACTGGAGAAAATTCATTACATTATGAAGGAATATGTTGTAAATTTTTTCTTTTTTCTTTTTTTTTCAGAGAGAGGGAGAGGGAGGGAGAAAGAGAGGGGGAGAAGCATGGATGTGAGAGGGAAACACCGATTAGTTGCCTCTCTCATGCTCCCTGACCAAACCAGGGCCCAAAGCCGCAGTTCAGGCTCATGCTCCGAACAGGAATCAAACTGGTGAGCTCTTCTGATTGCAAGACGACACCCAACCAACTGAGCCACACCGGATCAGGTCGATTTTTCCATTGTTTTGAAATATAGATGAAATGAGGATAGCTAATAAAATTAAAATACTGGTTCAGGGAAAGGCAGATGATTTAAATAAACTGATTGAGAGAATGAAAATGTGGAACCGTAAAGCTGACAGGATCGGATATAGTAATAATGGACTTTAACCAAACCTTTCAAAACTTCAGTTCATTTCTATTTTTAAACTACATAACAGCAAAAAGCTTCAACATTTATTTTGTAACACTAGAAATACAGTGATACTAATATCAAATAAAGATAGAATAATCATAGAAAATTAGAGTCTATTTTAAAATATTTATGGACAAAAATTCCTGAGTAAAAATTACCATATTTTGCCATTTACAATGCACACCTTTTTGTCCAAATTTTTTAGGGAAAAATAAGAATGTGCCTTATACATGTGTATGATGACTACATACCATGGGTATAATAATCCTGCGTATAACACATACAAAAACACAGGTGTGCATTATACACGGGAGCGCATTAACCCTTCCAGCTGTATGTTAAATTAGGTATCATACTTCAAGCAAGCAGGACTTATCTCCAAAATAGAACATTATTAAACTATTAGTTGATTTCATTTCACTGTAGATTAAAGGGGGAGGGGAGGACATGGCGTTTTCAGAGTTGTCAGACAAGTCACTATATGTGATTAGAACTTTTCTGAATAAAGAAAAAAAGAAAAACAAAAGTAAAACTTCAAGCAAACAAAGAATAGAAAAAAAAATTTTTCATTATGTGCCTTCCAAATCAAAACCAAGAAAAAACACTAAAAAACATTAGAGAATCAAGGACCAAGAAGAATGTTCATCATTACCTCTATTCTATTTTTCTTCAGGTTTTAACTATGAAAATAAAAAAAACTGTAAATATTGGAAAGTGAGGAAAAATAAAATGTATTATTTTAAGATCTAATATATTCCAGAGCATAAGGAGAAAGTTGATAAAACTAACAAAATTGATTAAGGGAGGCATATATAATAAAGCAACAACACCAATACTTTATCTTAATAACAGTAATAACTAAATAGAAAAGACAATACTGAAAAAATTTCCATTTCATCATATCCATAAAAAGTAAACAAAAAGCTGGAAATTCAGGGATGTATTGTAAGAAACATACAAACGAACAACACAGTACATTTGGTAAACATGTAAGTAGGCCTGGTGAAGAGAGAGTAATACAAGGGTGCTGAAGGAATTTTGAATAGTGCTTTTCTAATGATTGTGCCAGAATTAATTTAGATGTATTTAATCAACTACAATCAACATCTAAGAATCACTGGACAAATTAAGATATCAAAAAATAAAGTTGATGGGAATTTACCTTATCAGTTACAATATTTAAAAGAGTGAAAAACAGCCACATATTAATTTTTGGAAAAAAGAATACAGAATCAGAGGAAGGGACTATAGCACCTTCAAATATCAAAATGCAGACAAAGATAATAGAGGAAGAGTACATGCTTAACAAGTCATATTGGGTCAATTGGCTAACTAAATCATTAAAAAGAATAGAATTTAATGTGTTGTCACAAAAGTGTTTTTGCTGTATGCTTTATAATCACACTGCAAGCAATGTATGTGATGACTCAATTTATATATATACTTATAATTCAATATATATTTTAATGTATAAAACAATACAGAAGGTGGATGAGTAGGGCTGGGAAAAAATATTTGAAGAAAGTATTTTTGTTTGTACCAAAGGTCCATAAGCTATTTATATGACTTACTTTAGCTTTTTTGTTCATGAGACCCTTGGGTACTAAATTGTAGGTGAGGTGAGATACGAAGAGGCGAGGGGATGGTCTCTTGAGAAAGTCAACTTTGCGTATATTGTATTCAAAGAAGGGGACTATGTCAATCGTTTGCAAATTTTCAGTTCCATTACGATGTCCCTCAGAATAAATCAAACTCAATATCTGCTGAGTCCAGATGGTACCTGCAAAAATAAGTGATCTCATTTTCCACCCCAAATTATTTCTTTCTAAAAATGTTAGTTATGAATGCCATCTATCTCAAAACCATTTGGAGTTTTCTCTTTCTTTCAACTACTCTAAAAATGCCAAGAAAATGTGTCCAAATTTTTTCATTTGTGTGTATTTTACATTAAAATTGATAAAGATAAACTCAGGTGTTCTTAGCTTTTTATTAGAAATGAGCAGTGACACTAGTGATTCAAATTAATCATTCAGCTCTGTTTTGTTTCCCAGACTTCATGTAAGCTCTGTTGCTACAATTTTCTGGGTCTACCTCTGTTTCTCCTTCCTTAGTCTTTCTTAAAGCTTTATACTTTACAAGTATAGACACATTAAGAGCTCAAGGTCCATTTCACCTTTTTACATAGGTCTTCTTACACAATATTGAGTGAAAGTACTGACAGGCATTCTTGTCTTGTTCTTGATTTTAAATGTTTCACTATTGCATTTGACATCTGTGGTAGTTTTGGGTAGATTCTATTTATCAAGTTAAAGAAGTTCACTTTCTCCCTGGTTTGCTAACAGTTTGCCTCACAAATATATGCCGAATTGTATTAAATGCTTGTTCTGTCCCCGTGAGGTGATTATTCAGGCTTTCTTCTATACTCTAGTAATGTGGGTGAACTACATTAATATATATTTAAACCACTTATGACTCTTGAAACAAAGGCATCTTGGTCACAGTGTATATTTTAACATTGCTAGACTTGTTTGGATTATAGTTATGTGGTTTAGGAGTTTTGCATCTATGTTCATGAATATACAATCAATGTTCTGGAAGAATGTGAGGTTTTAATAATCTTGCCATCATTGCTACTCAATTGAGTAGATTTACAGACATCATAGATTTGATAAATTTTATGGCGAATCCTGGAGAGTCACTAATCTGCCCTCTAAGATGAGTAAGAACCCAGCAGGTTGGACTGAGAACTGGTGTGTGGTGTCCCAAATACTTGGGCAGGATTAAGGGTAGTGGAAAGACTCTTATGGGCTGCACAACCTGAAACTAAGCAAACTGAGGTGCCACCTACATCTAAGGGAAGGAAAAAATACCAAATACCAGATGTGCAGGTAAATTTGTAGAGTGGAAAAATCCAGAGAAAAGGCATTGTATCGATATTACTAATCTGAAATTCATAACAGGTCATGAATTTCAAAGTAGATGGTAAAAGGGAGGGACTGGAACATTTTCATAAAAATCCAAAATAATTTGCTGTGCTGACAGACTCCAGTGTATCTTTGAGCAATATTAACCACTTTTACAACATTGATTCAAGAATACCAATCATCCTGTGTTCTAAAAAGCACAATATAATAAATAAACCTTGGGGGAAATGTCAGATTTGAAGGCAATTTATTTTAATTCAAAAGTATCTCATTATTATAGAGAAATACAAAGCAGTTAGAGCCATTGAAAAGCATATTAGGAATTATTTCTGACTTAGATATACTGCTGACAAAAATTCCTGCTGAGTTTTTTAAATATATTTTCTTCCATTCTCACGCAAGCCGACAGACCAGCATTCACTAAGTATCTGCTCTTGGCTCAATATGTGGTTTCTGCATGTGTGCCTTCAAAAATGACAATATGTGCATTTCAAATGTCCCTAGGTATTAAAGATTTGACACTTATTTAACTTTTAAAACATTTTCAATGGTGGTCTAAATGTAGACTGGGCTACTCGTAATGTCTGGAAAAGTGCACATTTGTACACATGTATTAGCAAACAGAGTAAAGACTGATAACAGGCAACCCAATCTTCAAACTTACCGGATTTTGGATATGTAATTATGAAGACATCATCATCTCTGATTTCAAAATCCTCTATATTTTCTAGAAAGTCACTATCATTAACAACAGCAGATACAAAATTATAGCCTTTATAGTTCAGTAAATATTTGTCTGTGTTGTCCATTATTATTCACCTACAAGTACAAAAATATCACATTATTTTCAATTTCTTAGTATTTTATAGTAATTACTAACACTTACTGAGTGTTCAATATATGCCAACAATCTTGTAAATATCCTGTGTGTGTCAGTTGACACCATACTAAAGAGCATACGTGTACATGCATAAATCACTTAATCTTCCCAACAACCAAATACTCCTAAAAGTTTTATCACTATTTTAAAGATGAGGAAACTAAGATACTAAAAGTTTAAACAGCTTTTCCTAAAACCCCACGAGGAGGCGTTATCCTGGTACCAAGCATAAACCTGAGGAAAACAAAGCGCAGGAGGTTCCAGGTTGCCCAGCTCGCAGCGTGGCAGGGTTTGATGTCAGACTCTTTGGCTACTGAGTCCGTGCTTTCGATGACTTCACCTGACACAGTTGCTTAGTATTTTATATTTTTACTCATTACACATTTTTGTTATTACAGAAATAGTAACTTCTTCAACAAATGTCCTTTTTTTTCTGTTTTTACTTTTACTTTTTCTGGAACAGAAATCATCTGCTGCCCTGAAAGAAGCTTCTGAGGCTTTGGGGTCTGTGTCCATTTCAAATGGATTGTGGACTAGGCTCTGCCTGAGCCATACCAATTGCTTGTACTTTGGAGATGTCGCCCTCATGTAGTTGCAAGCTATTGTATGGTTATTATGTATTTTTGCAATTTAATTTTTATCAGAAATCTTCAATAACGCTAAATAAGAAAGTCAAAATAAAATTAGGAAACAAAGAGTCTAAAGATACATCTGTTCAAAAGTTGGACCAACTCCACCTGAGAAATCTATTTTTGAATGTTAAGAAGACGAGATCTGAGAAGTTCTAGTAACACTAGGCTTAGAACCAACACACATTTCAGGAATGTACTTTAAAATAATTCCTGTGCATACCAAGAAAACAAATTTGTTTAAAAAAAAAGACATATACCACGATCTCACCCATATGTGGAATCTAATGAACAAAATGTCAATAAACTGATGAACAAAGTAGAAACAGAGGCATGGATACATGGAACAGATTGACAGCTGTCAGAGGGGTGGGGGAGGAGGGACAGGATGAAAGAAGGTGAAGGAATTAACCAAAGAATGTATGTGTGTGACACACACATAGACAGAGTCAACAGTGTGGTGATGGGCAGAGGGGAGGGAGGGCAAGGGCTTGGTAAAAGTGGGCAGAGGTGTGGGGGGGATGCAGACATCTATAATAGTGTAAACAATAAAAATAAACTTTAAAAAAGGTTGCAAATATGGCTTTGTCTAAGTTGCATGTTAAGAAACCACATTTAGTCCTGACCGGGGTAGCTCAGTTGGGCCTTAGCTCACAAAGTGGAAGGTTGCAGGTCTGATTCCTGGTCACGATGCTTGCCTGCATGCCTGGGCTGCAGTCCCTGTCCCTGGTTGGGGTGTGTGCAAGAGACAACCAACAAGGTGTCTCTCACACATCAGTATTTCTCTCCCTTTCTTTCTTCCTCCCTTCTCCTCTCTCTAAGAATAAATAAATCTTAAAAAAAAAAAAGGAAAGAAACAATATTTAATTCTTTTACAAACAATCTAACTCACATGACCAATAGAGGAAAGTCAGGTTAGAATTTTTCTGAGTAAGAGTAGAAAAATCTCTTGCATTAGTCTTACCTGGGTTTTTCTATAAATGTTCATCCTCTAGGTCTTTTAACAGACTAAGAGAATTTCTGGGTAGTGTGCCCTGGAAATCTGTATTTTAATAAACTTGCCAATCACTCCAAAGAAATAGGAACCAAAATACTGATAAAGCACTATCTGGGCTTCAGCAGATGTTTCATCTCTACCTCCTGAGAAGACTTTGTGGGTGTTATTTGACCTCCACTTAAAAATCCAGTTAAGGCCCTATAACTTGCTAGAGCTTTCCTGACTTGAGGTGTATTCCAGACAACCTCAATCGCTGAGAACTGAGGATAGAAGAGACTGGCAGATGCATCACAGGGAGTGGTTTCAAGAGGAGAATGGACCCTGGTTGGTGTAGCTCAGTGGATTGAGTGTGGGCTGTGAACCAAAGCATCACAGGTTTGATTCCCAGTCAGGGCACATGCCTGGGTTGCAGGCCATGGCCCCCAGCAACCACACATTGATGTCTCTCTCTCTCTCTCTCTCTCTCTTTCCCTCCCTTCCCTTTGTAAAAATAAATAAATAAAATCTAAAAAAAAAATGAGGAGGATGGAGTGCTGTTGTGATGCTGGCATCACAAATTTTCCCAGAAAACCCCTCTACAACAGGCTTTGGAGCATGGTGAGGAGGAATTTATACTGTGTAACACAGACAAATGGAAAAGCCCATATGTGCGAAAGGTAGTTAAAGCAAAGGCAAAGATGAAAGTGTGAGCCACTATCACACCCTTCTGACACCACAAATATATATGTACACACACACACACACACACACACACACACACACACCCCATAAAGCACCAACTCCGCAAACTCTTAATTCTGGGAAAAGAGGAAACAGTGCCAGGCAGCCCACAAAAACATTCTGAAATCACTCCTTTTTTTGCTATATATTATGTTTAGTCTGTCTTGCACAATCTCAAGGAGACAAAATTGTAAGAGCAATGTTGTCACATAAACAAGGGGGGACAGTGAGGTGAGGGTGCATGTTCATGGAGGATCTCAGCATTGGCGAGTCATACATTGTTGGCATATCCTTAATGAATATAGGAGAAAGTATTGTATAAAGGGAAACAATGTCATGTGTTTCCCTTATTCCTGTACTGAAGTCCCAAAGAACAGGAGGGAAAACATAAAATTGAGGAGGAAGAAATAAACGCATTGTATCTGAAGACAGGATAAGATTTGGAAGAGGCTTAAGTCTACCACAGTACTACTCACTGTTCTCCGTCAACAGCTGAAGCAAAATCCACTCTGGTGCAATTGTATGGACAACAGGGAATGACGTGCTGCTGAGGAGTATATACTCCCCACAAGTTTGTCTTGGCCAGTGAGTAGTGTTCTAGAGCCAGCTGAGAACTCAGGTTGGATAAATAAATTAGGTAACATTTTGTTAACATTAGCAAATAGTTATATTAGTCCAGAAGAAGCAAAGTACTCAAAGCTCGTGGAAACACTAAAGAGAATTGCACATACTGTATTTTTCGGACCATAAGAGCCACCTAGGTTTTAGAGGAGAAAAATAGGAAAAAAATTGTAAAGCAAAAAATGTAGTAAAATATTGAATAACATAAATAACATAGTATTTCCCCAATGTAAATGTAAACAGAACTCAACAGCAGCATTAACAACCATTATTACTGACTTCGAGCTTTAAGTACAGAAACTCCTCTAGTCATCGGGGAACCCCTGGCACTCTTGGTCACTACTGTCCACATTTATGAAGCTCAGTTCCTCAGAATCACTAGTATCCCTGTCTTCACTCTGTTCATAGAGGATGTCATCTTCAGAGCCATCTAAGGCATTGCTGATGCCACATTTTTTGAAGGACCTCACAACAGTTCCATCCTTAACTGACTGCATGAGGTTTTCACCCACTCACAAACTTGGGTAATGGTGGGCCTCTTCATTCGTCCAGTTGGCGTCAGATCATGATTTCCAGCAGCCATCCATTTGCTCTGCTCTTCTCTCATGAGAACTTTAAATGGCTTGTTGAGAGAAACGCCCAAAGATTGCAACTGGCTGGTAAGCCCCCCAGGAATTATGGTTAGATGGGTTTTCTCTTCTTTAAATCTCTTTTTTTGTGGCTTCCGTGATATGTACCCTAACTGGTCAAGCAGTAATAGAGCAGGTTTTTACAGAAGCCCTCCAGGACGTTTGGACCACACTTTTTCTATCCATATCTTCATGCCATTTTCATCCATCCATCCTTTGTCATGAACATGAACAATAACTCCTCTTGGGATTGCCTCTTTTGGCACATTTTTTCTCTTGAAAATCAGCATTGGTGGCAGTTTGGTGCCATCTGCACAGCAGGACAACATGACCGTGTAATGGGTTTTATCATGCCCTGAGGTTTTCACAGTTATGGTTTTGGCACCTTTCACATCAACAGTCTTGTTTGATGGAACATCAAAGGTTAACGGGACTTCATCCATGTCCCCAATCTGGTTTATTTCAAATCCACTTTTCTTTCTTGCACCCACCACAGATTGGTGAAAAGACACAATGTTGGATTCACATTCCATAGACATTTTTTGTGCAATCCTGGTTTTGGTGCACAGAGCAAGGTCACATCTCTCCATAAATCTGTGGCACCATGATGGTGATCAAGTGAAGTCCTCAATGCCTTTCTCTGCAGCAAGACATTTGGCTGCATTTATGATCATTTCTGTAGATACTGAAAAGCCATTGTTCCTGTGATGTGTGATCCTCTCTTTCATATCCACTTCTAACTGTGGCCATTTTGCAGCATGCCTATGAAAACATTATTTCATTTTGTCTATTTTTTTGCAGTTGATCGTCCTGTTTCCTCCATTCCCGTATTATTGTTTCAGTTGGAGGTGGCCCAAAGTGTCTCTCTGCTGCTCTGTTCCCACGTTCTTTGGCGTACTTCACTACCTCCAGTTTAAAAGGGATTTTATATGAAATCCTTTTCTGCTTTGACATCTTTCCAGGATTACGGTAGATTTAGCAGGAGACTACGGTACACTATCCTATCTTTCTACAAGTAAATACAGTAATGACAGAACTAGCAGCACTGTGTCCTTCATAGTTATGGGGGCACCGTAGCTGAGAACATCAGTGGATGATGCACTGCTATGGGGGCATCTGCTGCTGACACTGCTATGGGGAGATCTGCTGCTGACACTGCTATGGGGAGATCTGCTGCTGACACTGCTATGGGGGAATCTGCTGCTGGAGGGCCACAGGTTGTGTGACACTCTTGTATGGGGATAGCAGTTTTGCACAACCTGTGTGGCTCTGCAGCTGTTGCCAAATTACAGCTCCCATCAGCCCAGCCTGTCCAAGCATGATGGGAGTTGTAGTTTTGCAACAGCAGTAGGGCCACATTGACAGGTGACCCTGCGGTGGAATTTGCCTATGTTAATGTTAATGGGGGACACACCAGTTATGTGATGGAGGCACCTAGGGACACTGGAGGCTTTCTTCTCCTGCACCACCTGTACCCTCCTCCCTAGCACTATAGTATGCTGCAGTGGGGACTCCCTCCTGCCTCCCTTGCTTCACACTGCCAGGACACCCCCTCCTCCCAGCCCAGGGCCAGCAGCATCACCCCACTCCTTCCAGTACTGGCTTCCTGCAGTAGGACCCTGCTCCTGCCTCCTGTGACCCCGCTCCACTGCTGTCCACGCCACCCCCCCCCCCACAGTGAGCCAGGTAAGCTACATTTAGAGTATAAGACACACCCCTTTTCCTCCCAAATTTGGTGGGAAGTGTGTCTTATAGTCCAAAAAACATGGCACCCAGGAATAATATTAATTTTGGAAACAATAAAACAAAAAGAAAGGTGCACAATATTTGAAAGCTATAGCAACATCTTCCTTGGGCATGAAGGATGGTTAGTAAAATATTTTAGACCAATCTCAGAAAACTAGTGTTCTTTTTTTTGGAATTTCATTTGAACCATCCTATGTAAAGCTGGCTATGGCTACGGGACGTTCAAAGAAACTTATGAATTCACAGACTATTTAAATTCATTCTCTAAAATATCCAGGGTTGTCCTTCCTAAGTCATGCCCTTCCACTCCTGTAAACATTCCAGAATACCCAGCCTATCTTCTTTTGCATCCAGTACCAATAATTGAAATATATCTCAGGCCTGTCCTAACAGCTCCACTGGAGGTTTCTCCCATTCATCAGTCATTTGTTACCTACATAAGCTACTCTTTTCCTTTTACGATTTTCCGTCACCATTTATGCCCTCTACACCCTTTTCCACCTCTACTCTCTACCCTCTGCCCACATCACACCACTCTTTGATAATGATTCTCAAGTGTCCACGAACAACAGAATTTGATCCCAGAGGCGGTTTTTAATCCTTCCAATCCACAAGACTGTGGGGGAGCTTTGTCTGCAGAGCCCCCTGTTTACCACGGATGAAAATAAGCCTACCGAGACATGATCTGCTTGGGGAGGAAGGGTGGCTGATCTCTCAAAGGAGAAGAACCAAGAGCCTTTTCCTCAATGGCTTTTATTGGGTTCATTTACACAGGAATTCAGGTAAAGCTCATTACTCATTGCTAGGAAGTAAATATCAAATAACAAGGAACTCTGAGGGCCTATTCTGAGTCAGGGTCAGATAGCTAAAGAGCTGTAAAAAACTTTAAGGAACAAACTTACTTTTTCCTTGAACCCTTATCATTCAATTGAGAGCATTATAAACAAAGCGGGTTTCACAGGATTTTACGTATTCTTTCTTAGGCCTGATCACCCGGGGAACCCGCCCTTTCCAGCACAGGGCTGCACCACCCTCTGTCATTGTTTCAGACTTAGGTGGAGCAAGGGAAGTAAGGCAGCCAAGAGATTAGGAGATTTTCTCATAGACAATGAGTATTCAGGCTATATCAAAGCCAAGGGGCGAGGGTCCATCACCCCTTTTGCTGTAGCCCTCAAAGTCCTTCCTTGGGGGCCTCCCACGTGATCATGCCTGTCTTAGATTGTTCTCCTGTTGGGGACTCTTACACCTCATTGGCTAACTGACCAAGCATTGGGGTCCAGGCACAGTGAAGTAAAAGGAGCAGAAGCGGTGCTCCTGCCAGGGAGATAAGCTTGTCTCCTTGGTGTCTTACAGTCCAAGGTTGTTCCCTCAGCCTTAGCCTTGGCTGGGGGTTGGGGGTGGGTGGGGGGGTTATAGCTTCTGATACCAGGCAGGGCGGTTCCCAACACAAGACTTCATTGGGAAGATACACAATTTAAGATGGAGGCAATTTAAGCTTATAAATGTTCAGCCTTCTTTTGTTTTACATCATGTGTATATATTAAGGAAATAGTCACATTTGTGTGAGTGGCATAGCCTAAAAGGAAATCAGTGGGAATAAATGGCTTATGAAAATGAATAGCTTAGCCAAGAATTTATAATTTTATAACATGAATTCTTATTGAACTAAACGTTTTAGGGGCCTTTTGAAATTCTCAAGGTGTTTCCCCTTTATTCACCTCTAGGCCAGGCTGCCATTCACTCCAGTGAAGGATTTATAGCACTGCATCTGTGACCAAAGGGGTTGTTTCAGCTTCCTCATTCCATACCAAATGATGATATGGTACATATAGCAATTAAAAATATCACTAACCTTTTTGTTTGTATGGAACTTTCCACCATTTGGTGAAATCTTAGTTTTCTAAGATTTTGGAAGATATGCCTTATTCCAGTAATGGTATGTCTAAACTACTAACTAAAGACAAGGTAGATGAAAGCCTGTCTAATTATAACACAATAACTTGTTCTTCTTCCTCAATTTACACAATCAATTCATCTTGCTTGTCCTTGTATATCTTTTAAGAGCTTTAAGAATTAAGCTAATTAGGAGCATATGACAGTATATCACATCAAATTATAGCATATTATATTTCCTAGCTCTGTCTGCTGATGCATGTAAAAGCAAAGATAAATCAGACAAATGAGCACACTTAAGGCAAAGTCTAGGTTACTAAAAACCTTTTCCTATTTGGAAGAATAAAGAGAGATGACAGATTGCATAAGTAAGATGAGGTTGGTACATATGGGCTTCAAGCATCTTATTATCCCACAGAGTAAAGAAATACTTGGAGAGTACTGAAGACATATCAGAAGGACACCAGAGCCAGCTTGGACTCTGAAGGAAATAAGAGAGTATGGTTAGGACCCTTTGACTGAACTAGCAGCTCATGAGCTATACTTGGGGTTGCTGAACTTCGGTAAAGGGTCAGACAGCACATGCTTTAGTTTTGCAGGCTGAGTGGCAAGATCCAATAAATTAGGTGGTTGTTTATATAACAAAAAAGAAAAAATTCCATAATTTTATGGCAAAATGAAAATTATAATAACAATTTCAAACATTTTT